TTGTAACCCTAAAAGTTCAGCGTTAACTGTAAATGCTGTAGTATAATGTTTTTTTTAACAGCATTGATGATGATTTTTATTATTTTTTATTAACTTTGAAACGGTCCAACGTTTGACGACGTGATCTAGAACCGAATAGTTTGTTTTACGGTGAATTTTAGCATTATTATACATACAAAGTTAACCTTCCATTGTACATTCGAGCTGTGTTAGCAAGGGTCAGTGTGACTGTGATTCATTAGTGTAACAACGTTACGGTGTATATTAGGCTCCCAGACCGACGTCTTCTTTGTATTTCGGACATATTGTCTCTCCACTCGTAAACAGTGTATCCTAACATACAGAAGTTTCGATAGTGGGAAAGAGAAATGGCACCTTGTGTTTTATTTTGCCATCATGTTTTAGAATCTAAATTCATGTTCAGAGTAATGCATTTTTGTATTCCATATTAACGTTTCCTACGTAAGAAGTACTTTGGGCAAGTGGCGAGTCAGATGAGGGTGGATTACTTGGCTACTATTGAGTGGAGAGTCAGATGTGGGTGAATTACCTGGCTACTTTTGAGTGGCGAGTCTGGTATGGGTGGATTACTTGGCTACTATTGAGTGGCGAGTCTTGGGTGGGTGGATTACTTGGCTAATATTGAGTGGCGAGTCTGGTGTGGGTGGATTACTTGGCTAATATTGAGTGGCGAGTCTGGTGTGGGTGGATATCTTGGCTAATATTGAGTGGCGAGTCTGGTGTAGGTGGATTACTTGGCTGCTATTGAATGGCGAGTCTGGTGTGGGTGGATTACTTGGCTAATATTGAGTGGCGAGTCTGGTGTGGGTGGATTACTTGGCTAATATTGAGTGGCGAGTCTGGTGTGGGTGGATTACTTGGCTGATATTGAGTGGCGAGTCTGGTGTGGGTGGATTACTTGGCTAATATTAAGTGGCGAGTCTGGTGTGGGTAGATTACTTGGCTAATATTGAGTGGCGAGTCTGGTGTGGGTGGATTACTTGGTTTAATATTGAGTGGCGAGTCTGGTGTGGGTGGATTACTTGGTTACTACATGTCTAGCTTTATTATGGTACAATAATTCTGGGGATTAAGCTACAGATACTTTGTGTCTGATTTCCCATATGATCCTTCTGTATTGATGAACGGTATATTCTGTATTGATTATTCGGCAATAACACTTAAACATTTCAAAACTGAGTAAACATTTGTAACATAAATGCCCATGAAAATTGCATGTATTGAGTAAAATGTGATTCTTAATATATTGCATTGTATTATTTAGAAATGACATCCCGTTATTAGATACACAGAATGCACTGTAACAATTAATTTTGATATACTTACATGTAACACATATTTCATATTTACTATAAATTGCGCGGTTATATTTTCGAAAAATGGAAGTATTTTTTTATTTTATCATCCATGATTCCATGTTTATTTTTTTTAATATAAATTACATTTATTAGATTGTGTAAAAGTATGTGGTTCTGCTACGGATTTGATCATCCACACATTTTACTTGTTAAACATTCTACGAGTTCTAATGCCAACCTACTTCCAACTTTCACAATTTTTGACAGCTAGTGAGGAAACAGCGATTTCCTCTAGGCATACGAAACAACAGAGCGGAGTGCAAAAATGAACATAAACGAGCATTATTTTTGAGACCGTCTGGCATCTTTAGGAGCCTAATGTTCTCATTACTGTGATATAGTATAGTGTAGGAGTGGTATATGTATATTCCTAGCGGAATTGCTTATAAAACTAAATGTCCTATACAAAAGACTCTAGGAACAATTCCCGGCAAAATTAAATTACTTTCCTCCATGACCAGAGATCCATTAGCCGAATATTAGATGAATGCCAGTGTCTGCCTACTCATTAGAGGAGAGTCTCTGCACCTTGGTGTCTACTTACTTAACATGGGGCCTTTCCTACACCTGTAAATTAATGTTTATTTGCACAGCAAAGGGCAGTATTCCTTACACCTGAAAATAAGCGTATTCTCAACTAACAAGGGGGTTTGTTCCCATACCTGAATGTTGTGTATCCTGATTCAACATGGGGCAGGGGAGATGGGAGTCCATCACCTGGATGTTGTGTCTACTTACTTTACAAGGGGGATAGTCACTTCACCTTAATGCTGCGTCTACTTACTCAACAAGGGGGATAGTCCCTTCACCTTAATGCTGTGTCTACTTACTCAACAAGGGGGATAGTCCCTTCACCTTAATGCTGTATCTACTTACTCAACAATGCGTCAAGGGAGGGGGATTCCCTAGACCCGAATACTGTATTTATGTCTGCAACAAGAGACAGTTCCTACTCCTCAACATCGGTGTCTTCTTACTCAACAGGAGACAATTCCTATTTTTGGTAATGAAACGCTAATTGTCTGGTTGATTTTTCAATGTAAATATATTCGGTTTAAAAAAAGCCTAGTGGTTTCATTGATCTGTGGCCCGTTTGCAGATTCACTTAGAAACGCTAACATTGTCAAATATCCCTTTAACAGACATTACATGTACCATCATAAATGATACCAGCACATATAAAATAATAGTTAAATGTCGGGATTATAATGTTTGGCTACATCCATTAGGACAAGTGCAGGCCAAGCCATCACAGCGTTATAACCCGGAGGTGTAGTGGATAACAGGCAGGTCAAACGATCCTTTAGTTACACGTATTCTCGCTTTTTTTTCATTATCACAGACGCATTGATTATAATTCGACATGATGCATGTCTTTCTTTGACACAGACTACAGGACATGGTACAGTCTCTAGATTCACGTAATAATAATAAACTTTATTTATTGAAGATAGAAATACATGTTTAGCCAAAGGCTTATCTTCCACATGGTCCTATACTATTTGAAGGCAACACTGATTAATATTTTACGACGAATTAAATGGGATCGATTCTGTTTAATGAGATGTTGTGAATGCAAATCTCCTGTAGAACGAATATTTCTAATGTGGACCATCACTATTGACTTGCATTAAACCAAATGTACATCAGCAGTGCCGACGTATTTACTTTACCCGTCAATCTGTACCCTGACCTTTGTCACACTACTTAATCGGGACTTCCTGGATTACCCCGATCGACCCCTGGAAATGACTGACATTTACCATAATCATTTCCCTGCGTTCTGGGTTTCTTGTCCAATATTTGATTTACTAAAACTGCCTGATACGAGGATGTAAAGGGAAGATAATTAGCCGTGTAAACTAACCACCGCCCATACGCATGTGACATTTTACAGTCGGACCTTCTGCCATATTTCATATTTGTAGAATTAAACAATTATTTCTAACCATGATGCCGTAAATATGGCCGTAAAAACACTTTAAATCTGATCAAAATGAAATGTGCATTGTGTATTCCATATGTGTTAAATATATATAAAATGGGTGGATATCATCGCAAGCTTGGATGCTATTCAAATTTACAATTCTGAACATTATGTAGGGAAATTACATTCTATGTTCTTTCAAACAGTAAAATCAAATCCATTAAAAAGTTGACTGTTGATTGGATATAATTGTTATGTAATGGAAACCTTTGTTTAGGTCGTGCACTTCTCATAAATAGTCTCCCTTTATTGACATGTTAACATCGATTCTACGATTTCAATGAATCATTAAATGAAATAAATTGAGGTACAGTGCATTTGGTTTACAGATTTAGGTTTAACTATATCTGTGTGAAATAAAACTTGAAATATCCACAGTGCTGTCTGATTACTATATAAAATATACACTGCATCGTTATAGTTCAAATTCAAATTCAAAATTTTATTTGCACATTTGTAACTACAAAGTAGTTTGAAGGCAAAATAGAAAAACACAATGAAATACATACATAGACATGTACATGTAGAAAAGTCGCAAAGTGATTGCTTATATTTCTAATATACATTAACATGAACAAAATTAACATAGCTTCAAATAGAAAATTTGATTTAAACATGTTTAGCTGCAAAGTCCATACATTATACTGTCAGCAAGCCCACTCTCCTCAGTTCTAAAGACTGTTTAATGAATAAGCAAAAGTCCAGTATAAACTGCGAGTTGTTAAAAAATTGGTATCTAAGGTAACATTATTGTGATTAGGAATGCATTTTTAGAAATACTCTTTTCTGGCAGATTCATTAAGGGAGCAGTGAAAAAAGAAGTGTACTTCATTTTCTAACACGCCACATAACACCGTCTCTAGTCTCTTGGTATAAACGAAATGTAGTAAACATTTTTCATAAATTATTACTGTTAATTTAAAGGAATTTTTTAAAGTCTATATACATTAATAAATTATTACTCTCGTTTAATTGTTAAGTTCACTAAAGAATCTCATATTTCTTTTTTAAAATTTGGCCTGGTGTTAATTTAAGTTGGTAATTTCTGTACAATGCGTCAGGATCCTGTATAATTTGATGTAAATCATTGTCTGATGTCATATCATTAACATAACTACATCAGGTATATGTGCCATTTTCATGTAAAGTTTTGGTTAATATATAAGCCTTCTTTTATCAAAGGGTTTAAATTGTCTGAATCTTGTAGTATTCTTCTTAAATAGCCACATGCTTGAGTGTTTATAAGGGTCTCAATAGGATAATGTTCCAGCTCTGCTCTTGAGCCTATATCATAGTGACAGTGTTCTGTGATGATAATTTATAGATGTACATTACGTTGGAGGGTTAAGCAGAAAACTGAAATATTCTTAATCTCAAGAGACATCACTGAGGACAATTCAACACACAATACCTCAAGAATGTCAAACCTTTATCATTATAACGTTATGATAAGGTAACAGTTCCCTACTTCTTCATATTACATTTGTCGGTGATATTCAGCAAAACTTGTTTTCCTGTGTGTTCCCCAGAGAAAGCTATTCCTGTAAATAAATGGCCAGTTTTATCGAGTATATCTGTTCAACCTTTCTCATTTTATAAGCTGATTTATTTCCATGTAATTTATCTGTTCGCAGGGTCTTCTGATATGCGCTGGAATAAGAGAAATGGATTATACGGAACATTTATGGACTCTGTCAGCAGACATGCTTCGTCCTTCGATAGTAAAGAGGCATTTTTTGAACGACTTTTTGAATTATTTGATATTAATGGTAAGTGTTTTTGTATGACGTTTCCATTCTGACGATATATAGATAATACAGATATGCAGAAAGCATGTAATAGGATGATACTGACATTAATTCAAATTAAAAACAACTATCAATTCCAGATGTGTAGGTACTGGCTGTTTACTTTGTTATCAATATTCATGAACGTGATAGAAGTACATACTCTTTCCATGGGACTCAACGATAATCACTTGAGCATATTAACGATACAAACTTGTTTTCTGTAAATAGATGCAATGATTTATAAGAATAATTTGGGACACAAACTTGTTTTCTGTAAATTGATACAATGATTTATAGGAATAATGGCAAACACTTGTTCTTTAAAATATCTACAATATTATTAAAGGAATAATGGCAAACACTTGTTTTCTATAAATACCTACAATGTCAGTAAAGGAAACACAAGAACAAAAACTAGTTCTAAAAATACACGCGAAGTTTTTAATAAGAATAATAACGACACAATAGGTGTTTTCTATAATTACCTTCAACGTTATCATAGGAATATGACACAATCTTGTTTTCTGTAAATACCTACAACGTTATCATAGGAATATGACACAATCTTGTTTTCTGTAAATACCTACAACGTTATCATAGGAATATGACACAATCTTGTTTTCTGTAAATACCTACAACGTTATCATAGGAATATGACACAATCTTGTTTTCTGTAAATACCTACAACGTTATCATAGGAATATGACACAATCTTGTTTTCTGTAAATACCTACAACGTTATCATAGGAATATGACACAATCTTGTTTTCTGTAAATACCTACAATGTTATCATAGGAATATGACACAATCTTGTTTTCTGTAAATACCTACAATGTTATCATAGGAATATGACACAATCTTGTTTTCTGTAAATACCTACAATGTTATCATAGGAATATGACACAATCTTGTTTTCTGTAAATACCTACAATGTTATCATAGGAATATGACACAATCTTGTTTTCTGTAAATACCTACAATGTTATCATAGGAATATGACACAATCTTGTTTTCTGTAAATACCTACAATGTTATCATAGGAATATGACACAATCTTGTTTTCTGTAAATACCTACAATGTTATCATAGGAATATGACACAATCTTGTTTTCTGTAAATACCTACAATGTTATCATAGGAATATGACACAATCTTGTTTTCTGTAAATACCTACAATGTTATCATAGGAATATGACACAATCTTGTTTTCTGTAAATACCTACAATGTTATCATAGGAATATGACACAATCTTGTTTTCTGTAAATACCTACAATGTTATCATAGGAATATGACACAATCTTGTTTTCTGTAAATACCTACAATGTTATCATAGGAATATGACACAATCTTGTTTTCTGTAAATACCTACAATGTTATCATAGGAATATGACACAATCTTGTTTTCTGTAAATACCTACAATGTTATCATAGGAATATGACACAATCTTGTTTTCTGTAAATACCTACAATGTTATCATAGGAATATGACACAATCTTGTTTTCTGTAAATACCTACAATGTTATCATAGGAATATGACACAATCTTGTTTTCTGTAAATACCTACAATGTTATCATAGGAATATGACACAATCTTGTTTTCTGTAAATACCTACAATGTTATCATAGGAATATGACACAATCTTGTTTTCTGTAAATACCTACAATGTTATCATAGGAATATGACACAATCTTGTTTTCTGTAAATACCTACAATGTTATCATAGGAATATGACACAATCTTGTTTTCTGTAAATACCTACAATGTTATCATAGGAATATGACACAATCTTGTTTTCTGTAAATACCTACAATGTTATCATAGGAATATGACACAATCTTGTTTTCTGTAAATACCTACAATGTTATCATAGGAATATGACACAATCTTGTTTTCTGTAAATACCTACAATGTTATCATAGGAATATGACACAATCTTGTTTTCTGTAAATACCTACAATGTTATCATAGGAATATGACACAATCTTGTTTTCTGTAAATACCTACAATGTTATCATAGGAATATGACACAATCTTGTTTTCTGTAAATACCTACAATGTTATCATAGGAATATGACACAATCTTGTTTTCTGTAAATACCTACAATGTTATCATAGGAATATGACACAATCTTGTTTTCTGTAAATACCTACAATGTTATCATAGGAATATGACACAATCTTGTTTTCTGTAAATACCTACAATGTTATCATAGGAATATGACACAATCTTGTTTTCTGTAAATACCTACAATGTTATCATAGGAATATGACACAATCTTGTTTTCTGTAAATACCTACAATGTTATCATAGGAATATGACACAATCTTGTTTTCTGTAAATACCTACAATGTTATCATAGGAATATGACACAATCTTGTTTTCTGTAAATACCTACAATGTTATCATAGGAATATGACACAATCTTGTTTTCTGTAAATACCTACAATGTTATCATAGGAATATGACACAATCTTGTTTTCTGTAAATACCTACAATGTTATCATAGGAATATGACACAATCTTGTTTTCTGTAAATACCTACAATGTTATCATAGGAATATGACACAATCTTGTTTTCTGTAAATACCTACAATGTTATCATAGGAATATGACACAATCTTGTTTTCTGTAAATACCTACAATGTTATCATAGGAATATGACACAATCTTGTTTTCTGTAAATACCTACAATGTTATCATAGGAATATGACACAATCTTGTTTTCTGTAAATACCTACAATGTTATCATAGGAATATGACACAATCTTGTTTTCTGTAAATACCTACAATGTTATCATAGGAATATGACACAATCTTGTTTTCTGTAAATACCTACAATGTTATCATAGGAATATGACACAATCTTGTTTTCTGTAAATACCTACAATGTTATCATAGGAATATGACACAATCTTGTTTTCTATAAATACCTACAATGTTATCATAGGAATATGACACAATCTTGTTTTCTGTAAATTCCTACAATGTTATCATAAGAATATGACACAAATTATTTTCTATAAATACATGCGACGTTATTGAAGGAATAATAAGGACACAAAATTGCTTTCTATAAATACCTGCAGTAATGTTAACCTTTTCACTTTAAATGTTTATATACATGATAATCACGATTCATTTAGCACTTGTGAGAATGCTTTTTACGTAACAATGGTACGACGGTAACACATTACGGCTTCACCAATTGCCTTCCGAAAAGTCGGTTTTACGTGTGTTTGTGGATGTTCAGTATTACATGGTTGTTAAAAAGATATCTTTGTAGAACGAAAGTATATATAGAACAATGCAATTAGGTAAAAGTCGGACTACACATCACGGCACACACCACACTACCGTACCTTATATTTGTTAAACGAACAAGCAGTTTCCGTTCATTAATTAGCGTTAGTCGAGTGTACCTAGCGACAATAACCATTGTAAATACAGGCGAAAGGCGCGCTTATTTGTTTTCCAGATAAAGGTTCCATGTACAATTGTTCCGGTTTAGATACACTAGTACTGGCATGCACCTTGTCGAGCGGCGGATCCAGAACTTAATAGAATTCCGTTAGTATGCCTGGCACACTTATAGTGTAAACCTGATTAATAGGAGCACTTAAGCTTAATCAGTATATGATAAATCGTACTTAGGATCTCGGTGCAGGTACACAGGTGAGAATTGTGTGAAAAGTTTTCTTTTCATAAATCAACTTTTGGTGGTTAATACCATTAAGAAAATGTACGGATTCTGTTGAAATGAACGATTCTTTCAGCCCTTATTAACAATAATCGACGAGTGAGTATAATTATATAAAAAAGCAAAAACATAAATTCCATATTAAAATTAGGTTTAAATTCGTACTGTTTTTCTGACCTTTATATTACTGGTGCAACTCTCAAATAGTTTCCAATAAATTACTTGCTTTTAGGCGGTCTAATAACCAAATCGATAGTTTTAAAACCTTTCCATTAAGCCTATGTAAACAATATGCAGATGAAACAGCGGAAAATCACATTTTGCATTAATAGTTACAAAGACAAACGCGAACCGTACCATCCTATCAAGGTAATCACACAACACTGTCAGCATTTCTGTATATATAATAACAGAACTGACATTCACAGGTAATTTTCATGTTCTATGGATGTTTTTGATTTCATTCGAAAAACAATTAACAAAATCATTCATTATTATGTTACATTTTGTTGATATGTAATCCTACCTTTAATGACCGTTACAAACGTAATCTAATAGACCTTATGGAATAACAATATTTAAATATCTAGTCGTCGCCATTGTTTTCATGTACATTTAAATAAAAAAGTCTTTACTGAGCGGGTGGCTAACTGTGCATTCAATGCATTGCTCTTTACCAGGTCATTTAGGATAGGAACATAGTCAGCGTTTACATTAACTAGCTATCAGTTATTTTATAATGATAATATAGCTTTCGAATAAATCGCACGAATGTTTGTCTGAGTAACAATTAACCTTTTTTAATATGATGTAGCAAGACAGGGTTTATCACCTGATGTTTATGTTATTCAGTAACAAAACGCTTTCACATTGCTTTTTGTCACGTCAGCTATACATACTGCAAAGTCACAAGTAGCAATCAAACACCACCAGAAGCTTGGGACAATATCAGAAGGTGATGGTTTTTGTATTTGTGTTTCTACGAAAACAATCCGAAAGCTGAATATACGAATTATTGTACAATTCGTAACCATACCATTTATTACCAGGATCGAAGATAACGTGGCAAATCATCTACAAGTGTAAAGCACTTCATATCAAAAGGTTTAATATTTACCAAAATACAGATGAAACGCATATTTTACAACCTAAAAACATGTTAGATAATCAAAGGCTAACACAATATCTGAGCTTATTGGAAAGGTTAAAATGGCGAGCAGATGTGAGCGTGGCCATTAATCGTCGCGGCCTTTGTTAGAATACATGTTCTGATTAAACAGACCACGTCATTAAATACATAGTATCACCAGTGTATAGTGGTTAATTAATCACACAACAATACGTGTGGAACACCAGTCAACTCCTGCCCGAAGTCTAAGAATTTCTGTACAATACTTTGTTTAGATAATGTTCTATCTCATACTTACAACAACGATCATTGATACAGCAGTGTAAGCTTCACGAGACATTACTCCACAGTTTTAAATTAATTTCCTCATACATGTCTGACATCCAAAACATAGTTTACATCTTCTGATGTTTTATTTAATATGACATAAAGCATCTGTAGGTTTTGTCATGCTAAAAATCAAAACATTTCATTTGACCATTGTACGTTGTTGTATGGTAAAGATGACAATGCAGTGTGTACTTGACCCAGGCCTCAAGAACTAAGCCCATTACAATCGTCCTTGCTGGAACGAGAGTCAGGCCTTTTCATTATCAGACACACCCCTTCTATTACCCAAAGCATAAGTAGAATAACTGGAACATTTCTAGAATATCTATAGCAAGGTGTTGATCAAGCCTGTAGCTAATGTGATAATAGCTCTGTAGCCATCACCCTTTCACTTACCATTATATAACTTGTGGTTACCTACATATAGAAGTTAGTTTTTACATCAACACCCATGATATTTTAAGGATAAGTCATCGTTTAGCAGTATAAGTTGAAAGGTACACTAACAATAACACTTATTATATTAATATTTACGGCTTGCGTAATGTTTCTTCACATTATGTTTCCTAATGACTTATTAATACCATATATTTAGTCGTGTGATTTTAAGAAACAATACAAGAAGATATCATGTACCATAATCTAATTACAAATGTAAATGGAAATATAACGCACTAAACATTTTACTCGGGAAGACTACGTACTGTGTTGACACAACTCTGGCCTGGTCAGTCTTTTGTAAAACCAGAAATTTGGTATGGATTAAGTTTCTTTTATTTTTCGAATTAAGGAATCGATGGGATATATACCATATGAAAATATGTATTACGTTTGGAGATTTGCATGGAAAAGCGTTTTTGATTATTCTGAATTGACATGCTTAAGTATTAATTGTTTGTCTGTATAACATAAGTGCTTACTCTCACACTTTGTAATACAATGTTGTTTTATTTCCTTTAGAAAATGGATGCATCGACAGGTTGGAATTTGAAGTAATTTTGGACATTCTAGTCATATTTCAATAACGGAAGCTTACGGGATGGGAAACAGGTCGACGGATACATGCATTTTTCCATAAAACACGTCCTTCAAAAATGGTTAACTCCCGGGAAACAGAAGACCTTGACCTCCAAATTTACATCAATATAACGCAACTTAGGAGAAGCATGCATCGAAATTTGTTACGTACCCTACATAAAAGCATCAAGTCCAAATAGGACCCGTGAACGGTGCCAGTGCGACGAGGCTACCCTCCCTTCTCGACTGCATGTGCGTGGATGCCAAGATAACCGAAGACGTCATTCGACAGGAAAGGAATACGTTTTTGAAAATTGGTAAAAATAAGAACAATTACAAAGGTTCAAAGAGCTTGTTATTTTTAATCGACATGATCCTCCGGCACTTGAGAAAATGGATGTATCCCAATACATCCAGGGCAGGCCAGACTGTACATGTATCGGACGTTAGGTAGGAACGAACTCTGATGAAATGAGAACAAACCATTGGCAAACACAAATTTCTAATACAATATATCATGTCATAATGACACGAGATAACATGTCATAATGACACGAGATAACGTGCCTTTATGACACGAGATAGCATGCCGCAATGACACGAGATAACGTGCCTTTATGACACGAGATAGCATGTCGTAATGACACGAGATAACGTGCCTTTATGAAACGAGATAGCATGTCATAATGACACGATATAACATGTCATAATGGCACGAGATAACATGTCATAATGGCACGAGAAAACATGTCAAAATGGCATGAGATAATATGATATAATGGCACGAGATAACATGTCAAAATGGCACGAGATAACATGTCATAATGGCACGAGATAACATGTCAAAATGGCACGAGATAACATGCCTTATTGGCACGGGATAACATGTTTTAATAGCACGAAATAACATGGTATAATAGCACAATATAGCGTGTCATAATGACACGTAGGAGAAGTGTGGGATCGGTGTTGAAAAGGTATTGATGTGTTTATGGAGTAAAACCTTCATTTTACTGAGTGACTGACTGAGCTTGGCGTCGTATGATCAGATGAGTGGTGTACAAGTGCTAATACTTTGTTCTAAATTCACATATTTTATGGATGATTTCTCGGAATCAATATGATACTATTTTACTCATTTTTTATTATACTATTTGTTTAGCAGAACTAAATCTTATTAATGCATGAAATTTGTCTATGTGAACCAACTTTTTCAAATTTCATTGTTCAAGTTATTACCTCATAATTTTAACGTTTGTTCTTCTTCTTACAACAGTTTTTAATGAGTTTTGTTTTGTGTGTGTAAGCAATTGGTTTACGTTAATATAAGTTTACCTCAGATTCCCCATGTGATAATAACGGATATCAAATCAACAATTCCCATTAAAACATTATACCCCTATAAATAACATTAATATTACAAATACCCTACCCCTCGAACGCACATATACACTACAAATACCCTCCCTAACTCTCAGTAACAGATATATCAAATACATTTGAAAATGATATATTTTTAAAAGCTTTACCAATCTTAGGAACATAAACATTAGTAATAGCCTACCTCTCCTGGTGACATTAATAGTGCGAATATCTTATCCTAACAAGTAACATGAAATGCCTATATTTTACCGTCCTGAAGTAAAAGAAAAGGTACAAATGCTCTTTCGATCTCATTCCAGTGCCAAACACATTAAAATTGTCCTACCAGTCTAAGTAACATAAATATTACAAATATCCGAACTTTCAAAATTACATTAATTTTGTCCTACTCCTTTTAATAACTTGTATATTATATGTCTATTTTCTTCGAATAAATATTAAATATACTGAACAAACATAACGCTTCCATATAGTTATCTAACAAGAAACTTTTATTAATTCAGATTATCCAAAACAGAAAATTGTTGATTTCCCTTTCTGTCATGCATCAAACGTTTGTGATACGTTCAACTACAAACTTTGGTATCCCGATAAAGGGGACGTAATTAGTATTACATCAGTTTTGTGGAATATTGCATATTAGTTTAATTATTATTTAATTGATTCAACAAACATTAAATGTGGTTTGTGAGCGGGATATTTGAAATCACTTCAAGCATATATATTGATAAAAGGTTTAATAATCTGAGGACAAAGAAAAGCCGGAACGAACTTTCATTTTTCCACGTACCTTATGAACCTTTTGCCATCCTTATTAGTTTGCCATTTGCATGGTCTGATATTTTTGGACTCATGCCTTTTTTCAGATTCTTTCTCTTTTTAGAAGTATCTTTAACTGTATGTGTTTGATGTCAAAGGTTTATTCTAGACCTGTGCTTGTTATAAACATAACGTGACGAGCCTTCAACATTTGCTCAAACTCTTGTAATCAGTTTTTATTGTTGGTTATTCTGCGAGGTAGTGATTTACCGTGCGTGCTTTGTCCCTAAATGGTGATGAGAAATATACTGACGTGTCTATTTTAATGGGAGACAATACTGACGTGTATAACATAGTGAGAGACAATACTGATGTGTTTAACTTAGTGAGAGACAAGACTGACGTGTCTAACTTAGTGAGAGACAAGACTGACGTGTCTAGCTTAGTGAGAGATATACTGACTTGTCTAACTTAGTGAGAGACAATACTGACGTGTATAACATAGTGAGAGACAATACTGATGTGTTTAACTTAGTGAGCGACAATACTGACGTGTCTAACTTAGTGAGAGACAAGACTGACGTGTCTAGCTTAGTGAGAGATATACTGACGTGTCTAACTTAGTGAGAGACAATACTGACGTGTCTAACTTAGCGAGAGACAATACTGACGTGTCTAACTTGGTGAGAGACAATACTGACGTGTCTAACTTAGTGAGAGACAATACTGACGTGTCTAACTTAGTGAGAGACAATACTGACGTGTCTAACTTAGTGAGAGACAATACTGACGTGTCTAACTTAGTGAGAGACAATACTGACGTGTCTAACTTAGTGAGAGACAATACTGACGTGTCTAACTTAGTGAGAGACAATACTGACGTGTCTAACTTAGTGAGAGACAATACTGACGTGTCTAACTTAGTGAGAGACAATACTGACGTGTCTAACTTAGTGAGAGACAATACTGACGTGTCTAACTTAGTGAGAGACAATACTGACGTGTCTAACTTAGTGAGAGACAATACTGACGTGTCTAACTTAGTGAGAGACAATACTGACGTGTCTAACTTAGTGAGAGACAATACTGACGTGTCTAACTTAGTGAGAGACAATACTGACGTGTCTAACTTAGTGAGAGACAATACTGACGTGTCTAACTTAGTGAGAGACAATACTGACGTGTCTAACTTAGTGAGAGACAATACTGACGTGTCTAACTTAGTGAGAGACAATACTGACGTGTCTAACTTAGTGAGAGACAATACTGACGTGTCTAACTTAGTGAGAGACAATACTGACGTGTCTAACTTAGTGAGAGACAATACTGACGTGTCTAACTTAGTGAGAGACAATACTGACGTGTCTAACTTAGTGAGAGACAATACTGACGTGTCTAACTTAGTGAGAGACAATACTGACGTGTCTAACTTAGTGAGAGACAATACTGACGTGTCTAACTTAGTGAGAGACAATACTGACGTGTCTAACTTAGTGAGAGACAATACTGACGTGTCTAACTTAGTGAGAGACAATACTGACGTGTCTAACTTAGTGAGAGACAATACTGACGTGTCTAACTTAGTGAGAGACAATACTGACGTGTCTAACTTAGTGAGAGATATAGGGACGTGACTAACTTAATGAGAGATATACTGACTTGTCTAACTTAGCGAGAGACAATACTGACGTGTTTAGTTTAGTGAGAGACAATACTGACGTGTCTAACTTAGTGAGAGACAATACTGACGTGTCTAACTTAGTGAGAGACAATACTGACGTATTTAATTTAGATTATTGTTGTGTCTCGTCCATTGTCTCTGATCTGTCAGCTGTAATCTGGTAACAAGCCAATAGTCGATAATAGTATCCTATAGAGATGAATACATAGTACCTTACAAAATTATACAATATTCTTAATTATCTGGGGCCTTGTTGCCATGGAAATAATGTTTTAGGATATTTCTATCGTAAGTATACAGTACTTAATTCAAGAACATCAAACTGCACCTATCATGTTCTTCTGTAAAAAAATACTTGTGTGACCTACTGTTTCCTAAATTCTACAGTAGATTTAGTGATATAATGGCATTAATATCTAATATTATAGTGCTTCGAGCTGAGAAAAGTGTATTACACGTGTCTTTGTATTAAGTCTTTAAACTCGACAATAGTCAGTAATGTCAGGTGATGACTATAATTCGTCCATATTCAAATCCAAAGCACGGTTATGAATATCAGAAATAACTATGATGTAAAGAGAAAATAATACGATCTAGTACTTTGCTCTTTTCTTTTATAGAGCGTTTCAAGTTTCATTCTTTATAAAGAGACAAAATAGTATTCTTCCTAATTATTTTCTTTCTGACTAAATTATCTTGTATCTTAAGAAAGTAACTGTTTATAGAAAAGGTGCAGATTTGAAGAGGCTCACCTATAGAGTAAGTGTGTAAACATATAGAAAAACATGTATTTATGAGACTTGTCTGTGTTCGGTACTAATTACAGGTAGTGTAACACTTCACCAAGGTCACTGTCCGAAAGTTCCTAGACTTTATATAGCTGCTAGGTGTACGATAATCGCCCTAACACACCCAGTGGGAGATGGTCATCCATTTCCATCTTTAGTATGGTTAGTTACTTGGTGTGTTGATATGTTGAAATAATTTCTTGTTTTTATGTCCAGAGGATAAGATATTAAACAACAGGATAATAATAGTACTTGTGTAATTCTATGGGATGTATCGTTGTTATGAATGGTCATAAGCTGTACATTCGTTGTGATTTCGTTTCTGACGAAGATTTGGTTATATTCTATTTTTCCTGATTGGCTGCTATAAATCAACCAATCTAGTAGCATTATGATATAAGTCAACCAATCTAGTAGCATAAGGATATAAGTCAACCAATCTAGTAGCTTAAGGATATAAGTCAACCAATCTAGTAGCTTTAGGATATAAGTCAACCAATCTAGTAGCATTAGGATATAAGTCAACCAATCTAGTAGCATTAGGATATAAGTCAACCAATCTAGTAGCATTAGGATATAAGTCAACCAATCTAGTAGCATTAGGATATAAGTCAACCAATCTAGTAGCATTAGGATATAAGTCAACCAATCTAGTAGCATTAGGATATAAGTCAACCAATCTAGTAGCATTAGGATATAAGTCAACCAATCTAGTAGCAT